TTGTATCGCTAAAGTTTCATCAGAAAGAAATTATACGGGAAATTAACAAACGACCAGGGGCGTAACACTGTAAATCTTAAAACATCTTTTAAAGTTGCTTCTTTTTTCCAAACACTTTATCATATGTACCACAAATATGTGGTTTATTTACAATGTGGGATATTGGATTTACAGAATTTGCATTTTTGAAACTTGGAATGAAAATTTTATTATTCCTTATCTCCATACTACTAAATACTACTACCAAATAAGGAATGCTAGTTTTATAAAACTAGCTCAGGCAGTAATAAAATAGTGAAAGAAGAGAATTGATGAGAAAGCTTGATAGCTATATGAATGATAAGGCCAGGCTTTAAGATTTTTAATCTTATTTATTTAGTTATTTCATTGTTTAGTTTAGAGGAGGAGACAGCTGAGATGGACCAATAGGTCCCTTGTTGCCCTTAAACATTATGTTATAATCAGTGATGTGATACACATAGTGTGCTTGTAGACATGCATCAGATTATCCATATAAATAGAGTAGTGTCACATAGTGTAGAATTAGAATACTCACAGTAGATATAATCAATGTAGTGCACTGAACAATATGTGACAACAAATAAAACGTGAGACAATATTGTTGTACAAAATGAATTAATAGAATTTACTGCCTCCAAAACATTAAAGAGGCCACCTGGCCATGCCGGGCGTAAGGGATATAAACGTAATGTTTTGTATCTGCGTGTAGCACTGTTGAGTGAAAGGGATAAAAATGTGATGTTTCATATCTGCATGTAGCACTGTTGAGTGTAAGAACTGTGATGTTTCATATATATGTGTAGCACTGTTGGGTGTAAGGACTGTGATGTTTCATATATGTGTGTAGCACTGTTGGGTGTAAGGGATATTAACGTAATATTTTGTATCTGTGTGTAGCACTGTTGAGTGTAAGGGATAAAAATGTGATGTTTCATATCTGCATGTAGCACTGTTGAGTGTAAGAACTGTGATGTTTCATATATATGTGTAGCACTGTTGGGTGTAAGGACTGTGATGTTTCATATATGTGTGTAGCACTGTTGAGTGAAAGGGATAAGAATGTGATGTTTCATATCTGTGGGTAGCACTGTTGGGTGTGAGGGATATGAATGTGATGTTTCATATCTATGTGTAGCACTGTTGGGTGTGAGGGATATGAATGTGATGTTTCATATCTATGTGTAGCACTGTTGGGTGTAGGGATATGAATGTGATGTTTTGTATCTACGTGTAGCACTGTTGAGTGAAAGGGATAAAAATGTGATGTTTCGTATCTGCGTGTAGCACTGTTGGGTGTAAGGAATATAAACGTAATGTTTTGGATCTGCGTGTAGCACTGTTGAGTGAAAGGGATAAAAATGTGATGTTTAATATTTGAGTGTAGCACTGTTGGGTGTAGGGATATGAATGTGATGTTTCATATCTGTGTGTAGCACTGTTGGGTGTAGGGATATGAATGTGATGTTTTGTATCTGCGTGTAGCTTTGCTTCCCGATCTCGAACATTCTAGGATTACACGACATATTATGATTGTTGTCAGTAGATCTTAAAGTTCTAGATTGTGTTACATTGCTTGGCATTTTGTGCTGTAATTTCATGCTTAATAGTAATTGAAGTATTTTTGGTCGAAATTTGTGCGAATGGAATGTTCAGTGCTTCATTACCAAAATATGCTGAAATGGAATAATCTAGAAAATCTTTAATGTTGATGCGCCACGAATGATAAAGAAAATGAGGCAATAATATTAAAAGACTAGCAGTTGTGGAGAAATGTCCTTGAACGTATTATCGCAATAATTCAATAGCTGGTTGAGCATGATACCGCTTTTCAGGGATTCAATGATGATGAATTTTAAGGACAAGATGAACTATTAGCTAAAATCGATCCACTAATGCAGAAGCACGTAAGAAAAATAGAAAAAAGATATATTACAAAACCATGAAGAGGTAGCTGTCAGGTTTGGGTTGTTTTGAATTTCGCGCAAAGCTACACGAGGGTTATCTGCGCTAGCCGTCTCTAATTTAGCAGTTTAAGACTAGAGAGAAGGCAGCTAGTCATCACTACCCACCCCAACTCTTGGGCTACTCTTTTTATCAACGGCTGAAAGGGAGAGCATGTTTTGTGAGACGAGGATTCGAACTAGTGGCCCTCAGATTGCGAGTCGAGCACCCTAACCACCTGACCATGACAGGCCGGTAGCCGTCAGAAAACCATGGACAGGAAGTTGTCCCAAAATCATGAACAGGAAGTTGTCACAAAACTATGGACAGGTAACTGTCACAAAATCATGGACAGGTAGCTGTCACAAAACCATGGACAGGTAGCTAGCAAGAAAATCGTGGACAGGTAGCTGTCCTGATAACCGTTGACAAGTAGTTGTCAAGAAAATAGTGAAGTGAGTGAAAGAAATCTGTCAAGGAACTCGCGGACAAGTATTTATCACGAAATCTAACAAGGCATTTAAGATTTTTTTTAGGTATGGAAGCAATACTGATAGCCATCGTTAATCATTGCCATGACTGTTATAATTTTAACCCTAAAATACAGAAATTTAGTAATGTATATCAACACCTTTACTAAGCAAACACTTTACAATTACAGTATTATTATTATTACCATGACGTGGGGTATGAAAAATTTGTTTTAATACGTGTAGAACCCCACAAAAAACACTTGTTGGTAACTTTATACAGTTCGTCTTTTAGGGGCAAAACTACACAATAGGCTATAAGGCTATATGTGCTGTGTCCCATCGCAGGTATCGAACGTCGATTTTTTGCATTATAAGCCCTTAAACTGACCGCTGAGACACAGCGTAACCTTAAATGAAAATATATGTTTAATTAGGGAAGGAACTAACAGTTCCTGAAATTTAATTTTGTGCATATATCTTTAGATAATAGTTTTAAAAGGCGAATATCTAGTGGTCACTAGGAAGCCTTTTAATAGGGAACATTATCAAATCATAACTTGTCTGAACATCTTTTGAAAGATCTTTGGAGTTACTAGTTCGTCGAGTTTTGTGAAACTGTTTCCTGTACATTTCGAAAATAAAAGGGTAAGTTAAAGTGGTGAGTCTGTGAACGTTAATTTGCTCTGATATATTTCATTCTTGCATTTTGATGTCTGATTCCTACACATTTCTCTGAGCAGAACCAAGAGAAACGAAACTGTTGGTGGCGAGAAATTTATTGCACTGATAATTATGTACAATGAAACTCCGGGTTGTACAAGATTTAGTGCACTGATAATTATGT